GTTTTCTTTACATTGAGGTGTAATCCATACCGAAGGCTGTGCTCTTAATGTATATTACAGAGACCCATTTATTAAGTCTTAAATTAAACAAAGACAAATCATCTGGATGAGGAAGCCCATCAGCATTGGGTCTTATAGTTTCCAAATGATTCACAACCACGTGGACAAATTATAGATCACAGAAATTTGTCAGAAATGAATGACTGGCAGCAGAGCAACTTATCACTGCTGCAGGTGAGACTACAGAAGTACAAGAGGGACCATTATTGGGTTATATACATGACTGAAGATTTAAAAAGCTTACAGAAATGGCTCTGGGGTTCTCAGGCCACCTTGGTTGGAGTATGACCTATGATCATGGAACCCCCTGCTGCTGTTGTCCTTAAGCACTGCCAAGTTGGTTCTGACTCCTATTGTACCTATAGAAGGTGTGGTGCTGTGGGTTAATGATTCATCAGACTGCAAAGTTGTTTGAAATGCAAGGTCAGCGGTTCAAGCTCACCAGCTGCTTTTCAGAGTCGCTATGGGTCGGAATCGGCTCAAGGGCACTTAACAACAACAACAAGGTGCAGCTAGTGAGCTTGCAGTTCACTGCTTTATCCCACACCACTAAATCAGGACTACGCTGCTATAATGGTTAAGTTCCATGGGGACCTAGTAGTGAAAATCATAAAAAAGTGCTCAGGAGGATATGGTCATATTGCAGTTACATAAAACATATTTCTCCATTATAGATGAAATATTGTTAGGTGCCATCGAGTGGGTTCTGACTCACAGTGATTCTATGAACAATAAAAGGGAATACTGCCTGGTCCTGTGCCATTCTCATAACTGTTGTTCTGTTTGAGCCCATTGTTGCTTCCACTGTGTCAATCCATCTCATATGGGGCCTTCCTCTTTTTGGCTGATCCTCCACTTTACCAAGCATGATATCCTTTCCCCAGGGACTGATCTCTCCTGATATGTTTAAACACAAGTAGCAAAGTAATTTCTAAGGAGCATTCTGGCTGTACTTCTTCTAAGAAAGATTTGCTTCTTCTGAAACTCTATGTAGTCTGTGGTAACATTCTAATTTAAACACATCAATTCTTTTATGCATGAAATTCTATAGATCAAATACATAAAGTTGAGTAAACACTGAAGAAACTATACCACCAAGAAAAAGTCAGCAGGCATAAGATAATTTATTCCTAAGAAACATAAATAACCTAACAATATAAAGGATCTCTTACTTAAATCCATTTTAAATTTTCAAAGAAATAAATGAAGACACAGGGTCCATGTATGAACAAAGTATAAACTTTATAATTGACTTAATATAAACATTTTCTATAATATACATATCATTATATATTGTACTAAAAAGAAATTAGACTCTATTTCTAGTTTTTCTTAGTATTACCAACTTACAAGGATCTAAAGACAAGACCTGGTTGGAGCTGTAGGATAAGCACTCGATCACAAGGTCAGTTTGAACTGACAGGTCCGCAAGTCAAACTCACTAGCCACTCCTTGGAAACCTATCCAGGGTCGCTATGGGTTGGAACTGACTCAAAGGCACTTAACAACAACAACAAAGAAAAAGAGACTCAGAATATTTACTTTTGCTATTACGATTAATAAATACAAAATATATTCCTTAAACACCTTTATTCAAATCTGGAAGTGTGTACATTATAAGGAAACTATTTTTTCAAGAACAGAAACTTGGGATAAGACAACTTTAAAAGGACAGCATCAAATACCTGGGTTTTCAAAATCTGTGACAGTAAAACTCACCTTTCCCAAACAAACTTTTTAAAGGAATTCTGTGCTACAACATCTATTTGAAATATTCTATTTCTTAAAAATGTTTTTAAGCTACAATATTTCAGAAAAATTGTTCTGGCGTTATTAGTAATTTATCTCTGATTATAAATACAGATCTATCTAGCCATAAAAATATTAGAGGTGATTGTTTCCAGACTTGTTCCAAGCCATGCAACCAAAGTGGAAGTTAAACACACTTCAGTTCTTGAGAACTATAAAATTTAAAGATTGACTTTAGTGGTTGGTGCATAAATTTTAATAATGGTATTAACTGCTCTTCTTTCTAGGCAAATGGATAGTGTATTATTATTATCACAGACAGCATTGTACTTCAAGGCAGATCTTGAAATCTCTTTTTGAGGATGAATTATGAGGCCATTCGTCTTGAATTTGTTAAACCTGGTATAGTATGCCACATGCTGTCTAAAGCTGGAGCACCGTGCTCCATATGATACACACTAGAATGTGAACCATTCTAAACCAGGGTTTAAGCTCTCCAGTCGGTCCAACGGATAAAGATGAGGCTCTCTGCTCCCACAAGATTTAAAAGCCTCAGAAACGCTATACAGGGGTCCCTTCGAGATGGAACTGACTTGACAGCACTTGACAGCAGCAATGCCTAGGATTTCAATCTTTGGGGATTCCATTTCATTTTTGTTGAGTTCTAATTTTCCAAAATTCATACAGTCAACATTCTGAATATTAATGGATGGTTGTAGATATTTCTTCATATATTGAGTTCTCACAAATAGTTTGCTCCATCCATGTCTATAAGTCTACTGTATTTGAGGAGGCGGCTCTATCCCCGGTGCATTTTGCTTGGCTTTCAACCTGAGGGACTCATCTTTCAGCACTATTTGCATATAAGGTTGCTGTTGTTGTTATATGCCCTTGAGTCATAACGACCTTGAATAGGGTTTCCAAGGAGTTGTGGGTAGGTTTGAATCAACAGCCTTAAGGTTAGAAAGTCCAGTAGTTATTCTACTGTGTGGCACATTAGGACTCCTTACACATAATAGGTCTCAATAATTATTAGGTAAAATATCCAAAGAATAGTACTAGGATATTAGTTTAAATTTTGATCCAATACAGGGAGCAGTTCTACAATATGCTAGAGTAGATCTGTTCTACAATATTCTTGAGTAGATCATCATTCCAGAGAATCCTGAACATCTCCAGTAATGGTAAACTTACTACCTCATAAGGCAATTCAGTCCACCATGGGTCAGCTCTACTTGTTTGAAAAGTATTTCTACTAAACCAAAACCTCTCTGCAATTTCCACTCACTGTTTTTGGAGTTATGTCAAGTGAGTGTAATTTCTCTTGTAGGGACATTTCTTCACATTTTAGAAGATGTTGTTAACTGCCACCTAGTCAGCTATAACTTATAGCTACCCTGCATAGGGTTTCAGAGGAGCAGCTAGTGAGTTTAAACTGCTACCACCTTGTTTTCATTTTTACAGTAAAACAGTGTTATTTCTTTGGTAATTTTCATATGGTGTGGACTTTGAGTCCCATCCTTTACTGATTCTCATCCTTTACCTGCTAGTTGGGAAATTCCTAATATTTCAGTTTGCATCATAATATCTCATGCTCAGAATTTAACACAGTCCCCAATATCATTTCTTCTGACTGGAATAAAGTAAGTAGAACGTACATCTTTTGTTTTTTTATTTAGACACAACATTAATATTTATACAAACATTAACTGTTCTGACAAAAAGCTCCCAAAATCTCTAGTGTTTTTCATAGGAATTTCTGTAAATCTAAGGATCCCAGACTCCTCCATTTTGTAAATGTAAAGGTATTTTCTAGAAATCTAAGTAAAGTACTTTATATTTGTTGTTGTTGGGTACCATTTAGTCAATTTCAGCTCAGGGACCTCATATAACAAAATACTGCTACACTGAGTTTCCTTGGCTATAAACTTTACAGAAGCAAACGGCCAGGTCTTTCTCACCAGGAGTTGCTGGGTCTGTCTGAACCAATAAATAACATTATGGCTAACAGCTGAGCACTTAACCCCTGCACCAGGAGGACTCCTAACTTTACATCAACTTTTTTTTTTTTTTTTGATGGCAAGTGACAAAGCTTATTTCAAATCCTTTACATCAACTTTTGTTAAATATATCTTCATTACTTTTCATGTATTGTTCCATGCTATTTCAATCTTTTCAATCTCAAGTCTATACTTTAACATACAAAGATCATTCTAAAGTTTTCGCCACCCACATAATTGATAAGTATGCCTTCTATGAGAACTGATACAAATATTTATCAGTTTAAAAAAATTATCACTTCAAATCACTGATAAAAATATTTGCAAAAACATAGAAAACATTAAGTCCCACAGAGTAACAGTAGAGATCTTTACGTGTGATTGATACTGATATTATGTGTGGGGCAACATGGTGTTTTCTGCTCCTGAACAGTCTCTTTTCATCTGTAACATACCATAAAAGACATTAAGTTTATTAAATCATTAAGCACTAGGGGAAAACAGTGATCTATTAACAAAAATTTACTTTTATAACCTTCTTTATAAATTATGTGCATCAACCTGACAATGTGAATAATTATCACACAGGAAATGATGTCAATATTATAAGTGTATATAACGAGAACATAAAATTATATCAAGTAAGTGTCAATTCTGAGGATTTGGGAATTTTAAGATAAATTCAATACTCTTTAAAGCTCAGATTTAGCCTGCCCTGTCAACTAAACTGATTGTAAGTAAATTAACAGTATCTAGCAAAACAAAAAATATTTTTAACATTACATTGACCAAATTAACTGCAAAAAATATTGTTAATCTACACTGAAATTTAAGTCTAAATTAAATCTAAAATTTGAAAGTGTGGTCAAAAGCACCCAACATCAAGAAAAACCTATCATCTAACGGTACTACAGTAACAAAATTCTTTTTGGACAGTTTCACTGCTTTCTCAGCTACTTTAACCACTAAATATAGCAGCTCAGGATTATGTAATTTAAAAATTATTTTACATTTTTTTTTCTGATTTCAATGATCTTTCTCAAGAAACTTTTATTGATTATCCTAATTGTTAAATCCTTTTCAGAAAACCGAAAGAAAAAGTGGGAGATAGACACAGCCATGTGAAGCTACTGGGGGAAAACACAAACTTCTCTTTGTTCAACAAAATCACTTTTGCTTCTTAGAAGGCAAAGAGAAAATGAGGGACAGACTTCAAGAACTAAAGCAGCGAACAAAAGAAATCGAACTCTCTGGAGACAGGTACATGTTCACCACAGAGGCAGAAGAACAAGGTGAATTTTTGCAGCAAGCGGTTATTTATGAAAGAGAACCTGTAGTTGAGAGGCAGCTATATGAGATACAAAAATTACAGGAGAATATTAACAATTTAAGAGATGAAGTTCAAAATTTTGGACAGCAACAAAAAAGTTTAGTGGCTTCAATGAGAAGGTTTAGTCTACTTAAGAGAGAATCTAGTATTACAAAGGATATAAAAATCCAAGCAGAACACATTAAAAGAGATTTGGATCATTTAATAAAAGAAATTAAAAAGTCTGAGGATGAAAATGGCCCATCATCAGTAGTCACAAGGATACTTAAATCTCATCATGCCGCCATGTTCCATCATTTTCAGCAAACTATGTTTATATACAATGACACAATAGCAGCAAAGCAAGAGAAGTGCAAGAAATTTATTTTCCGGCAGCTTGAAGTGGCTGGAAAAGAGGTATCTGAAGAAGATGTAAATGATATGCTTCACCAAGGAAAATGGGAAATTTTCAATGAAAGTTTACTTACAGAAGTCACCATTACTAAAGCACAACTCTCAGAGATTGAGCAGAGACACAAGGAACTAGTCAATTTAGAGAACCAAATAAAGGATTTAAGAGATCTTTTCAGTCAGATATCTCTTTTAGTAGAGGAGCAAGGAGAAAGCATCAACAATATCGAAATGATAGTGAACAGTACAAAAGAATATGTTAACACTACTAAAGAGAAATTTGGACTGGCTGTAAAATACAAGAAACAAAATCCTTGCAGAGTATTGTGTTGTTGGTGCTGTCCATGCTGTAGCTCAAAATAAAGAACTACTAGAAAAATGTTTTCAGCTTTAGGGTAAGGATGTCCCATATTGCAGTGTCTTTTTATTGTTTAAATTTATTCATATACTTTCAATCACTAGTAAGTCCTGATTTCTCCCTTGTAGCTCTTATCCACTAGAATTTTACACACTTGTAGGACAGTGACATAAAGTCTTTGCAAACCTACAGAATTTTACAATGATGTGAAAATAGAGATAATTTACATAAATGTCAAACACAGTGGTTTCTAATCTCTTCTAGATTCAGATAATGATAATATTGATCTAATTAATCTAAAACAGTATGATTACCTCTGAACATGCAGGCTAACTACTGAAAGAAACTGAGATGAAAAAATTGAAGTTTCTGATCAGGGATGAAGCTGATTTTTCATTTATGTGACTTCCACAATAATCTACATATCTTTAAGATCAAATTTAAATACAGAATTTTTAAGGATTGATAAGAAGAAACAATATGACAATGCTCTGCCATAAAACACAGAAATCAACCCTGCTCCCCAAAACCCAGCCACAAAACATTAAGGGCTATCTAGTTCAATCCTAAATGCATGACATGCCTAAGAGCACAATAATTATTGTCCAAGACGTGACTACTATTCAGTTCTTCTGACCTGTCACTATGTTAAATGTGTAGTGGTAACGCTATACGATAAGAACGGGACTGTTGACTGCAAGATCGCCAGTCTCTCAATGGGAGAAAGGTGAGGTTATCTGTTCCTCAGATAAAGATTCACAGCCTCAACAACCCTACAGGGGGTTGCTATGAGTGAGAATCAACCCGATGGCAAGGAGTTCAGTTTGTTTAATTTGTAAAACATTGCCAAAAAGCATTGCATTCCTAGTTGTTGGATCAGCATTTCACAACATTAGTATCATCATCTGGGGGCAAATATAACAGTTAGAATTTACACTTAAATTACATGATTTGTTTCCCAGGAATAGTCTGTGATAAAATCTAGAGGCTTTACCATGCTAATTTCACTTTACTTGCATCATCAATCTGCAAGCATTTAAACCACTCTTTAAATCATAAGCCTGTTTCTTTGACCCTGGCTCATTAAGCAAAGACTTGCCATACACATTGGTCTCAACAATGAACTCAAGTATGCAGCGGTGAAGATGGCACAGGGCTGCATTTCATTCTGTTGGACACAGGGTCACCATAAATCAGAGCCAACTTGACAACAAATAAGAGAATGCATATATTTACTCAGTGTCTTAGCCTCTAAAATGTAGCTTCATATGGCCATATATAAACTTTTGTTGTTTTGCTCCCAATGCATCCCCATCATCAGAATAATGCCTGGCACAAAGGGGATGTTAAATAAATATTTGCTAAATTAGTACATGGAAAAAATAAATGAACAAAAGAATAATGAATAAATATTCATTTTTTTTAAATGCTCATCAGTCACTAATAGTTTTCATTTTTTCTAGAAGCCCTCGATTCTCTGCTTAAACATTTGAGAAGGTTACTTTAGCTCTTGGGGAGTTCAACAAGGGTCACTTTCTATGTATTAAGGTTTTCTTTAAGATTCAATAAAGGTGATAACTGAGAATACAAATCTCATAATTTATCTAATTGATTAAATGTATTAAAATAGTACAAGTTTTTACCAATAAATGATTCAACAGAGCTTTTGCCATTTTTAGTCAGCACTTCTAATCTGTCACGTTTAAAAATGTCCATTGTAAGAGCTCTGGTAGCATAGTGGTTACAAATCGGGCTGGTAGCATTAAGGCTAGCAGTTCGAAACTACCAGCTGTTCTATGGGAGAAAGACTCCCGTAAAGACTTACAGCCTCGGCAACCCTATGCAAGCTTGCTATGAGACGCAACTGACTCCATGGCACACAACAACAATAACAACAACATTACTACTGTAGATCACTGAGAAGCTTTGCTTCCCCCACTACCACCACACATACAAATAATGAATCAAGAGAATGGGGGACGGGTCAAGAAAACAAGTGCACACATTCAACTTATTTCAATATTATTGTTGTTGTTAAGTGCCGTCGGGTTGCTTCTGACTTAGCAACCCTATATAGGATAGGATTTCTGAGGAGTGGCTGGTGGGTTTGAACTACAAATCTTGCAGCCAAACTGATTTTACAGACCAGCGCATTATCTTGCAGTACCACATTGATGATAAGTGCCATCAAGTTGGTTCCGACTCATAATGACCCTGTATAACGTTTCCTAGGAGCAGCTGGTGAGCCTGAACTGCTGATCCAGCAGTTCAAACCAAATTTGTAGCCCATTGTTCTACATTAGCGCATTATCCTGCAGCACCACATTACGAGTACTATAAACTGCATTTTAAACTACTTTCACTTTAGTGTGTCTCTGTGTCTCATAATTGGGAGTCCTGGTACACCACTGTAGGATAAGCAGTGGACTGATAATTAAAATGTCTGTGGTTTAAATCTGCCAGTCCTTCTTCATAAACCATATACAGGGTCAGGAAAACCTCGCACATAACACCATGTCTCATTATGATAGCACCATCTAGTGTTCACTGTGTATAATGCTATGAGGGGCAATGATAAGCATACAAAAGGCCTTTGTTAGTTTTTTTAAAAAAATGCCTAGGCACTTGGACACAAGTATATGGCCAAGTCAATAACAACACAGATTACATGTTTAATATGAAAATGTGAAAATAAAAACTGATAAGTCAATGAGAAAAACCATTTAAATGAATCTTAAAAATATTCTTCAAGAAAGAAGCATAAGTAAGTTGTTAAAGGAGGAAAAAAACATATTACATGTTCTGAAACTCTACTAATTGTCTATTTCAAAAAGAAAAACGTTATGAAAAGTACATCAGCAATAAAATAAATGGAACATTTACGCATCCAGAAGATCTAGTTATAAGGATTGTTCATTATATAGCCTTGACCGTTAATCTCTATAGACAGTATTACAAGACCCAGAATATTAATAATTCCCTTTTAATTACATACTTTTAGTTAACACTCATGATGACAGTTTTGATTTGTAATTACATTACAATATTTTGCAACGTAAGTAAATTTCTTCATTGGCTAATGTCACTGCCCCTAAGTTTACAGTGGCACCATCACTACTTACACCAATATAGGTTTTCCCGATATCCTGGGATGTCTTAGGACTTCCGACATTGTTTCTTTTGTCTCTTCCATTCTCTCTTCATCACTGGAATCCACAACAAATATTACTCCGTAGGATTCAGCATAGTAATTCTTCCAGATTCCCCGAATTCTCTTTCCACCTCCCAAGTCAAAGATGGTGACTTCAAATTTTCCTTGTCTGAGGTCAATTTTAGAAAATCCAACAGTAGGAGCTACATCTTCAGGATGCTCTATTTCAAATGACACACACACAAAAAAATCTTTAGGCTTTATGTTAATAGCATTAACTTTACAAACTAAATGATATAAAGGTGCTATTCAATAACATTTTAATACTTTAAATACAATGCTTATTATTATTTGTTTACAATGTACCAAGCACATTATTGGTTTGTGGAGAGAAAATATCCAACTAGAATTTACAGCCTGTTTTCTGTTGTTAGTGATATAACTGTAGCACTTAGAATAATGTGTAGCTGTTTCTTTGGATTATTTTGCTATCCAATCAATTCCAACTCATGGAGATTCCATGTGTGTCAAGAGTACAACTGTGCTCCATTGGATTTAGAATGACTGAGTTTTCTTAAGTAAATCATCAGGCTTTTTCTCAAGAAACCACTGGGTGGACACAAATCTCCACCCTTGCAAGTAGCAGCAATGCATTAACCATTTACACCGTCCAGGGACTCCACATGTTAATCCTGAATCATAGTGAGTGACCCTCTGTGACAAAGTAGATCTGCCTCATAGGGTTTCTGAGGTTGCAACTTTCACAAAAGCAGACCACCAGATCTTCTCTCCTATGCAGAGACTAGTGGTGTAGAACCACAGATTTTTCTATTATCAGTGAGCACTTACTTAACTGTTGTACCATCAGCGCTCCTTCTGCCTAGCACATGTTGTTGTGGTTAAGTACCATCAAGTTGATTCCAACCCACAGGTGACCCCGTATAAGGTTTCTGAGGAGTAGCTGGTGAGCTTGAACCACCGACCTTGCGGCTCGAATGACTTTGCAGCCCAGTGCATTAACCCACAGCCCCACACCAGGGGGATTTAATAAATAATCTGTTGGATGAATACTGAACTAAGCTAGTGAGAAGAAGCCCTTAAGACTACTTTTCACCAAGTTAAAAACAATTAAAATCTTAATCCTTTGCCACCACAGCCATGCCCAGGGACTAGGAGGGAACTTCAAAGAGCTCATTGAAATCTCATTATCTTTTATTTCCATTTTTCCAAGGACTTTTTAAAGTCCCCCTCATGTTACAACTTCCATGGAATTATAATGAAAACCTTTAACATTTAAAGAATGAAACAGTTCTGACCAATCATAGGAGAAGCTACAAAACGTAAGATCACTTTTGTTTGTTTGTTTTTTTAAATTAGCTGAACTCAAGCTACCATTGAAATAAAGAGATTTTTGAGGGCAGTTTGAAAACAAAGAGATCTCATTGTTTCTACAGGGGCTTGTTTTGGATGTTCAAACAGATTTACCATTGAAAGTTGTCTGTTTGTCTTCTGGACTTCTGCATATTGTTAAGTGCCATGGAGTTGGTTCTAGCTCAGAGCAATCCTGTATAGGATTCACAAGGAGCAGCTGGTGAGCTTCAACTGCCAATTTTGCAGTTTAAACTGATCTGGCAGTCCAGTGCATTAACCCACAGCGTCACACAAGAACAGTAACCTAGGATGCATATGATTTTAACTGTCAAGGAGGGGCAACGACAATAAGTAACGGTTTTTAAAAGATCATTGATGGCCAAGGAAGACTTCATAAAGGAGATGGGACTTATGTCTTAAACATAAGTAAAATTTCAATAGGCAAAATAATAATTTAGTAAGGGAAAGGACAAAGGAAAAGAAGTAC